ATTGTCGACGGAATATGACTACGCCTTGGCGTAAGCATGCAGAAAATCTGTATATAAAACGGCCGACCCCGTTAGAGGTGATGGCGCATAGGGGTGTAGTCCTGTGACGTTTCCTTAGACCTGTTCCAGCAGCCCGTGAAAGGCGTTGAAACTACTCCGGTGAAGCTAGACGTTCTACGTCCATTCACCAAGGCGTTCAAAAATGGGCTCGATCACCGATTTCTTCTGGTTCGCTTGAAGCTTGTGAGTTTACTTGAGATATTGAAATTGCTTCGTTTCTCGTGCTGCAAGAAAAAAAATCCTGGGGAAGCTGCGGTGCCCGACTTCGCAGCCGCAAATTCGCAAGCAACATCACACCATGTGCATCGGGCATTACCCGGTGACACTAGCTTTACCATAGTTCAGAGGGTAGCCAACGCTACGGGCCGATGAAGGCAATAGAGAGTTCTAGTAGTCGTACACTGTGGAGAGTGGGAACCGTGGACGCGTGTTCACTCCATGCTTCAAACTGACGGCATGAGCTCTTGCTAAAAAAGCAAAGCTTGCGATCTACTGGAAGCCCCTATTAGATTATTTTAGTAGTCCGTATTCTTTAGCTACGCTTTTCTAGCGGGAGCTCGTGCCCTCAAATCGAAGCATGAATGGAGCACGCGCGCTGGGTCCGCTTTCCGCAGCATACGACCTGCTCAAACTCTGTGATAAAGCAGTGCCAAGAACGCAAGGTCATACAGTTCATTCTCGTTCTGTGGTTGTGCGATCATCGACTAAACCAAGTGTAGTGAATGCGCCGTCAGATTAAGTTTTGAGTGTGTGAGTGTGAGTATGTTCTGCTTTTTTGGCTTCACATCTTTGATTGTGCTCTTACTAATGAACTGCTAGAGTATAGTTATCGGAATTCTGTAAAAAAATATTATGTAACTAAAGGAATGGCACGCTTCATCAAAGGAAAAAAAAAAGCGAAAAAACATAGCGCATTTTGTTTAAATGACCTGGAAATTAGAGCAGTTATAACAACTGCCTTTAGGTCTACCCCCTAATCATTCAAATCAGAGCTCGGTGTTCTGATGTTCCTGCGCCGCTCACGTCTTCTCTCTTTCTCTATACCTTTCTCTCAGTTTCTCAGTGTATAAAAATAAGCTGCGTCTTCTGAGCGAGCCTGCCGACCACGGTCGTTTATTTGGTGAAAGAGTAGCTTATGGGCAGCATGCTCGGACTTGTCAGTTTCGCTTCGCTCGCACTTAAGATGAAACATAGGTTAGTTCTGCATACGCAGTTCCCTCACTTCTCATGGGACTACGTGCTTGTTTATGATTATTGATATGGTTTATAGTCACATTGCAATTGAGCTCGTGTTCTTTTGTGTGCGGCATTCATTAGAGACCCAGGTAACCTAGGTGCGCAAGCAATTTCAAGGATTACAATAAACCTAGCTTATACATGGCCACATGTGCCAGAATCAACACTTAGGATTCAGAACTTCACATGTAGCCGCTTCCGTGGACAAAAGTTGTTCATCAAGAACAACTGTGACGGTGTGAAATCACGTGGCGGAAACTTTCTGTCATTACGCGCTTTGTCGCAAACCTTTGGCAGCCAATAAATACTCATTATCGGCGCCGAGAATGTTGGTAGCTGTCAGCAGGCGATATTTCCAGTAACCTGAAGTTAGAGTATTTCCTCTTGTTCTGCTACAAGCAATCAGGAGACGGTTTTCGAAATGCCTGAACGTAATAAGCCACTGAAAATTCAATCATTAGAGCCTGATCATTTCGTGTACAGGCTTGAGATATCGATGCACCCTTACCTTTCGAGGAGCTCAAGGCTAGTGCAAAATGTAACGATGTTCCAGTGTTCATCAGCGTGCGGTGTGCGTTCTCACATCACATTTTATACAAAGTCACACATCACGCTTTACATATTTTACTTTTTGCACACCACTAAGTTTCCCACGCAAATCCCAAAATTAAGTTGCTGGATGGCTTAAGATCTTTGCATTAGCAACCCACAAAACAGGAATATTTGCCCTTGCATTTAATTTATATCTGCACTCACTACTAAATTTAATTTTGATAGTTTAATCTTGCATGTTGTTGTTTATCCTTAGCATTTCTTTTGTTATGTCTTAAGCGTTAGACTTCCGTATCAATAATAATGAAATATGGACAAGTTAGTGCATCGTTTCTTTTGACAATAAGTGCCACAAGACAGGGGCAGAAAGTAAGAGACACAGCACAAAGCGCTACTTTGAAATGACTGTTTGAAAGTAGCGCTTTGGTGCTGTGTCCCTAACATTCTCTCTCCGTCTTGTGGTGCTTATAGTCAAAAGGCTCCCGCACGATACCTACTTTAGGTTTTCCAAGTTAATATCTTCAGCTGAGAGCCATTTTTTGTGTTTTTTAATCTCATGATTTTAGTAACGACAAAAGAGAGACACCTGACCGAAATAATATAGTCTATTCATTTTAAGTCTTCAGGTATGTAATCCCTGAAGCTAGAAATTTGCAGATCGACGTAATTCACATCATTACGCTTTTCCGGAAATTCATCAAAAACAAACACATGCACAAAAAAAAAAAAAAAGAAGAAAGAATGGTTGACTCGTCGTAGAAGTCCAACCAAATTAAGATATGTGAATTGGCCTCCAAAATTTCCGGTGCTCTAGATCTGCATCGAAAATGTAATATTTTTTAGCCGCGTCGGTTATTTGGTGACTATATTTGACTCCCCGTGACAAAACTGTTGCGGGGAGTCATATGGAAACTTAACGAACAACCGTCTGGACACTTTGGCTACAATTGGACGGCGGACATCACATGGCTCCGAAGGATTTTAACCCTTTGATGCCCAAAACTTTACTTTGAGTCCCGCACATCTACAAACTTTGGTGTGGAACAGACACAAAAAAAAAAACACACAAAAACCTGCTCTCAGAAAAAAAATTACCTTTATTTGTAAACGCATAATGATTTGTTGTTCCTGAGCAACGTTGGGCATCTGCGTCACTACTTCACGTGAAACGGGTGAAAACGGTTGCGGCTTGGGAAAAGGCACAGGTGCATCTCGAATTTTGCCCAGCACAGGAACGTGTAACCAGTTTTGCTGTATTTGCACCTGTTCTCCTTCTTAGTGTACAGCGGCCAGCGTAGCGTTCCATTATACCTCACATCCAGTGGCGTACCAACTTGTTTTTGAGTGGGGGGGGGGGGGGCAACCTTGAACCCCCCCCCCCACCAGGGCCTGGGGGTGGCGCCCTTGGTACTCCTTGGCCTGTCCAGTGGCGGCTGCTTCAGGGAGGGGGGGCAAAACGCATGCCTTGCCCCCCCCCCCCCCCCTTCCCCGGGTTGGTGTGCCCATGCTCACACCATCTGTCGGTTTTGGCTTTAGTGGCAGGGTTATCTTGCTTGGAAATGCATTTTCATTTTTCAATGTGTCTAATTTTTTCTTCAAAGGCTTGGCCTTCACCTGTGCCAGGGCTTGCGCGATTTGAGAACAAAAAGCGAGCAGATAAAGGCGTCTTTTCATGCAGAGTTACGTGCAGTGTCACTTGTACACGAGACCAATATTTATATTATTTTTGATTTTATGTGCAAAATTCATTTAACCATAAAAATCATCCATACTTGAAGATTTTAGCCGCGGGTGAACCATAACACATACGCCACAAATTTTTCCTCACCAATACCAATGCTACCCACATATGCCCGATGTTGCTCCTGGGCAACATCATAGTTGTCAGGCTGCTACTGAGCTTTCACAAACTGTAAGTTTATTTTCACTGCACATGCGTCTTTTTTAGTCAACCAGTAGGAGATTTCAATCAAGGATTTGTTTCATTATCACATCCTGCATTTGTTTTCATTGATGTTCGCTCACCTGGTACAGTGGCGGGACGAGGTCGCTCGCTGGTCCAGACACTTGTAGCGGAAGCGTGAAAGCGGACATGAGCCGCCCTCTTTTTTTTTCTTTCTTTTTATTTCTAGAAGCTCAGGCCGCCTCGGCCTTGCGGCTGATGGCGCAAATAGCATAGATTAGCGGGTTTCGGGGCAGAAAAAGAATAATGCTTGAGTTGTTGCTTCTGGGCAACGCTGGGCATATATGGAAATCGGCTGACCTTTCTCGGAGGACGAGATAGTCAGAGCCCTCAAAACTCCGAGCGAAAGTGAGAGGCCTGGAATTTAAGCTGCGATATTGACAGCGTTTCGGGTCACCCAATGTCGCCTACTTTGTACATAATATGTGTAAATTTTTTTTAGCCTTTATTTGAATGTATCATTGTAAAGTTTGCAAAGTAGTATCACGAAGACTCCATCGCATTTCTCCAACTAAGCACCGAAGACTTCATCGACAATCGACCCGCACAATGCCGTGGGCCTGAGAAACACAATCACCTCCCACAGCTTTCACTGTCGTACTACACTTCGCCTACACGTAAAGCGAACATACTTGCGATACGCAGAACAAGCACAGTGCGTAATAAAAAAAATTGTTTGCAGGTTTGATTGCAATATTTTAACCTTCCCTAATATTGTAGCAGAAAAATTACTATGTTAATAAAGATTAATTTATTCGTGATGATTTTTTTTTTGTTTTGTGGCAAGGTAAGAAATCTTCACAGATTTTTCTCAATTTTGATGGAATCCCCTTGAAAAATTATTCGCCTGAACCGCCGAGCTTTACAAAAATTAAACAGGGTTTTCGGAGTGCTCGGAGGTCAAGTCGTGGAAGTCTGTTTATACAAAAAGTTTTTTATTAGAATTGTTTGTTGGAAATGCTGATACATTTGCGGCTAAGCAAGACTATGTAAATTAAAAAGAGCTACCGAATGAAAGTATGCCTATTGTTGACTTCCGTCCTGTGTCAAGGTATCACTTCTCGTTTCAAAGGTTTTAATAGCAAACAAGGGGGCCTCTGCAATAGTAGGGGCATTTCAAACTTGCATGTTTTCCGTGGGTATACCCGAGACAGAACAATGTTCTTAACGATAATATGAATTCTTGCAGTATTTGCGGATGCGCTTTGGAAAAGGTGTCAGTATGCCGTCCTGCGCCGTTTTCTATTTTGTGAGCGTAAGTATCCAGATTTAAGGTGACATACTTAAAACTGGCAATTCAGCTCTATTGTTAATATTTGTATCTTCTAATGTTCTCTTTGACCAGCAAACCGTTGGAGCCTTGGCAATATCTGCAACTTCTGTAGCCGTCTCAACCGGTGAGTAAATGGAAATTTTACAATTTCTTTTTAATTGACCTTAAAATTATTTTCTTTTAATAAAAAATATCAGGGAACGGTTCAGATATGCCATTATACTTATATACTCACACAGACTGGTGCATACGCTTGGGACTGCTTACGACATTTTGTTTTAGAACCTCTCAAAATATCCTAATAGGAAAAAAATGCACTGGCGCCATCTATTGGATAGCCGTAGAAACGTGGAGATACCGTATATTTCATTCTTTTTCGGTCGTAGTCCATTCTTTTTTATCTTGAAAAACTTTTGACAATGCAATACACAATCATATCTCGTAGATATTGTTGTACAAGTCTGGAACTGGGGAATAAAGAAAGAGGAAGTTGGGCACGCATCGTGAATGGCAGACCCACAAGCCACGGCATCACCTTTTCGAAATCGATCGAAAATGAACATGTATATTGCTCGTGCATTGGTCTGGCGTTGGCGAGGAGATCGAACCACAGGGGGCGTTTGTCCAGCTGGCGGTCCTTCATTTTTTGAGTGACAGGATAGCTACAAATACTACGTGATGGCAGCGATTTTAACGATAAATACTAAGTGGAAGTGAGCTGGAAGCGTCTTTAAAATGTTTAGATACCCTGCTGCCCACAGCCAGTTAGGCGTCAATTAAGTCAGCTCGAAAGTACAGAGAACACCGGCTACCACTTCGTCCAATATGGCTATCACCCCTATTTTCGCCTTTCAACCGCCAGAACCATTCGACTTTCCTAGATACGAAGACTGGCCTCGGTGGATTCAACGCTTCTAGCGATTCAGAATCACGATGGACTCAACAGTAAACCTAAAGAAATATAGGTTATCAGCTTGATATTGTGCAATGGGTGAGAAAGTGAAAGACGTCCTACCGTCCCTTAGATTTACTGCAGAGCCTCTGCTGAAGTACTGTGCTGTCAATAAGTCTTTCGAAGACCATTTTATTATTCAACGCAACACCGAAGAAAATTTCAATAAAGAACACAAGAACAAAACGAGTCCGTCAGGAATTTCATTGCTGATCGGCGTTTTCTGGAAAATTATAGCCACTTCGGAGAGCTCTACCACGATATTATATGGGATCTCATTGTAGTGGGAGTAAAAAACTGGAGAACTATCCGAGAAAATGCAACTTGATGTAATCTTGACGATATAGTCAACAACCGCGATGGCTCGCCAATAAGAAACAGTAAAAAACCAATAGGCTACACGGCGCCGAGAACGTCAACAAATTTTATAGGTCCAAGAGAACGACCTCATCGAAAGAACACTCAGCAGTCGTGGTACTTGTGTGGCAGGGAGAAACACCCCAAAGACAATTGTCCAGCTTGAAAAGCGGAGTGTATCAAAGGTCGGAAGCTTGGCGTTTGCAGAACGTGTTCGCGAAGTGACCGAATGTGTACATGGGTCTAGTGAACCCCGAAGTCAAACAATTTGCAAAAGACTGGAACTTTCACCTCCTCAAGTCCAGCCCCAAATTCCCACAAAGCGATGAAGTCGTTGTAGCTGGTGTAAGAATAATAAAGGCCAACTGAAAAAAAAGAGAAAAAAAAAAACCACTGACGATGCCCATAGGGCATTACAGGCGTACATAGCAACGCCGCTGGGAAACTGTTTTAGACATGTGGAACTTTTCATGAAACGTCGAATCCGCACATTCCTTCTAATGGCGAATTTTCTTCTGGTGCGAAAGACTCTTGATGACACCAAACTTCGTTACTGCTACAAACCAAGCAAGGGTACACAGAAAGCAATCTTTTACTCAAGACACAAGGCACATCCATGGAAACCACTTGAGAAAGAATAAGAGGTGCGAGTCACTGACCACAATAGTAGTGGAGTTGATATGGCAGCTTCAGGATCACCCCGACTTTACATAGTGGAGACACCTAGAGACGAGTTGAGGCGCAACAGAGTTCACTTGATCCCGATGATATCACCGTTAGAGAACACTGAAGCAGTCAAAGGAAAATTCGGGAGCAAAGATACGTCGTACCTGCTGCCATCACCTTCCGAGCTTCCAAGATTCCACTTGATCCCGATGACATCACAATCAGGGAATACTGAAGAAGCAGAAGGAAATCTCAAGAGCCAAGAGTAGTCGTGCGTGATGCCATCACCTTCCTAACTTCCAACCATCAAATGTGGGCGAGTGGTAACACCCGTAGAAAAACCCAACCTACAGCCGGTTCAAAAATGAGAAAGAAAAAGAAGGGGGAGATATTTTATGAGCTTGCAACTAGGGAATATAGAAAGGGGAAGTTGAGCGTGCACCATTAATGGCGGTCTCTCATTCTTTGACTGACACGCCGGCTACGAATACTCCAGATATTGTCAGGAATGACAAACGATGAGGCAGCTAAGAACTGGATTAACTAAATGTTTAATCGGGCGAAATTTTGTTTAACACAAAATAGAAGAAAGTTAGCGTCGCAGGCATCGATATCGGCGAAGCCGCAGGATCGAAGGTATGGGAGAGAGTGACTTCGGCTCGCAACGCGGATCTCCAGATGTACACGCGGGGATTTCTGGAACAATCGGCGTAGAATTTTCGGCGGGCGCGTAGAACATTTGGACCTCGAATAAGGAACAGAATTCTCGAATACAACAGAACATAACATTCACAAAAGTAACGAAAATATGCGGCCGCTCCCAGGCATTGAACATCGGCCCAATACGTGAGAGCCAAGCCCAAAAACCATTGGGCAACGGGAGCGCTTTTTCCTTTCTATATTATTGAAGAACGGGCACGCTGCCTACTTGGCTAGCTACGTGCGCGGCAATATTACGTAGATTTGATATCGTTAATTCTGCAAAACCTTCCCTCTAGTGAAATGCCGCTACACGATCACCTTATAGATCGTGCTAGCGTGTACATTAGTCGTAATAGATTGCACGAACTCAGTCCCAAGTAAACGAAAGTGCACGAACAGGCCTTAAATATGACTACGAAGATATGCTAATGTCTGTAAAAGTTGTAGTAATTCTCAAATATTTCCTGCCAATACATATGCTGCCCTGACAGAACACATTCGTGCGTCAAAAGGTAGTTTTAGTCTTTAAAGCGTCACAAGTACACTCAGACAATTCAAACTGTCTTAATCGAGCTAAATGTGATGTTGAAATACAACACTAGTTTGTGCGCAACGTTTTACTTTTTACGCTGGGATCATGATCTAACTTTTTGAAATATCCAGATAAACACGATGATTAGAAAGACAAGTTAAATTTAAAACCAAATGTTTTTTATGTTATGTTATGCTTTGTGTAAGCTCTAAATTTACATTAATCCAATAAATAGGGTTTCGTTTATCATAAATGTACTCCCCCCTTCCCCCCACCTTTTCGACGAAACGTATTGTTAATTTTGCCCACATACAAGCAGAGCAAACGGGAATACCTCTTGCACAAAAGGTACCATCGTTTAAAATAAATTTCTAAAAAATCTCCCTTTACTTGAAGCAATATCGTGTACTTTAGATGAATATCAGATTTCAGTTATATTTAGATATCACGTAAACATCTAAGCATTTGGATATTTGACACATTCCTTGTGACGGTAATATGAAATAAAATTAGTAGCGTTCAATGCTCAAAAGTGCATAGGTAACATATTTGTTCGTTTTCTATTGATAGTTTTTCACGTGCCACAATTCTGGACAAGCTTGGCCATTGGCTTGACGGGCACCGTCTATACAGCGCTGGTGTGTTTTGATTTTAATTACATCTATTTTGTGCATTATTATAATATTTTTAAATAATACTAACCTTGACTGGAATATGATACACTTACGCGGTTGCGTTAGAAACTACCGCCTTGTTCGAACGTCTTCTTCAAAACAGGTCACGTATTCATATCCCGCCTTGACACGTTAGTAGAAAGAAAAGACACGTAAGTAGAAAAAGACACGTTGGTAGAAAAAAGAAATCGATTACAATTATAATTATTCTTGGTTAAAAAGTAATAAATTGAACGACTTAATTACTTACAATTTGAAATTGTTGGGGTTACTTAAAAAAGTAACGATTACTTCTCTGATTATTTTAGATTTTTCAAACGACACGTTTTCCCACCTGCTTTTAACTGATATTTCGTGCTGTTCATTATAAGACTAAAATCACCGTATCACAGTTACTTATCTTGTTAATTTACCATATTTTGGTGAAACTTCCAGCTGTCTGAGTCTTGATTATAGGACATCTTGTTTGGAACAAAGGGCAGTATTTGAAAAAGGAGGGGAAAATAATAACTGTTACAATAATTTTACTACTTCCAAAAGAAATCGAAATAGTTTTGTGATGACTATTTAATAAATGTCTGGATATGATGATAAAATAACTCCAAAAGTAGTGGATTACGGGTAATTTTGTTACTTGTAATGAGTTCCGTAAGAATCGACGAGTAATATGTTGAGTTTCGTGTTTTCAGAATTTATTAATCTTCGAACTTGGGAGTGCTTTTTCTGGGTTTATTTTTACCGCACTTGCTTGTTCTCATTGTCCATTTTAAAGACAGCTAAGAAAAAATTGTCATTTATGGAGGCTTATGTTGATGATTACGGGGCATGGCACCAAAGTCCGGGGAGCACGAGAGTGACCTGAACACTTGAAAAACGACCCGGCGCTGAGAAAAGAGGGAAATCAGACAAGGAATGCTGTTCTTTAGGAAGGAGGCAGCATCTCTGGAAAGTTAGTGCGGGCTGCGTTCCTGGCCAACACAACGAAACTATTTTTTCCGTGAGGTTTTTTTTCTGTTTTCCTCAAGGAAAACTAAAATTGATTTTTTTTTTTCTTTTTAGGTTTCCCTCGATTTTGATAAACCTGGCTTGAGGATTACTTTTCGGGGTTCATAGGTATACAGGGTTGAGCGCAAGTCCGCAAACCGGCTGGTTTACATTGAAGATAATAAAACTCCTACATTGCACGTATACAGGGTGTTTGATTCTAATTAAATTTATTACAAGAAATATGTGAAAGACTAATGCTGCTTGCGCAGGTTGGATATATGGCCATGGGGACATCTTATAGGGCTAATCTACACGAAAAGTCGTATAATTAAATAAACGTTTTACGTACCTTTTTAATTAGGAAAAATAAATCTGTAGTTTCAATTAGAAACTTGCTGAGCAGTGAGGAACCACTAAATCAGACCAAAAATAATTGAAGCATGGGGGACGCGCGGGGGTGCACCAATGTCAACACTCGTGAGTGGAAACCTTTTTGCACCAGGCAAAATACGCGCTGGGAAAACGCGGATGATTAGATTACCATCCGCATTTTCCCACCGCTAGCTTTGCGCTCTTGCAGGAGCAATAACTTGGGAACACCTCGGAGCCTCACATGTGCTTCAAGTGGTTTCAAAATTGACTGATCCAGTGGTTTTCAAAGACACTCATCAGGTTTCTAAGTGGAACCATATGTTTATTTTCTTTAGTTACAGAAGTAAAAAAGATATCTTAGTGAAGAATACATAACCTAGGGAGCTATTCCTCACTTATCGTGAGGACTGGCTCTTTATGTGATGTGCCCTTGATTGTGTAACTGACCTTCACAGACCACAGTAGTGTACCTTTCACAATTGTTTTAATAAATATGTTCGATTTAAAATTAAACACTTTATATGATTAGGGTTGTGCAAATATTACTCCGAACAAAATAGCGCAGTTTCGTCGCAGCGTTTAACACTGTGAAGAGAGACGATATATAGTGGCTCTTCCTTGCACTACTTTATTCGAAACATAATTCGCGCACCCTGCACTTAATATATACTGCAAACATAGAAGCTTACTTATACCTTTATTAGACTGGATCTTTGCGTTCTAGATCTAGGTACGTCTTATAAATGGCGCACATCATCAATGACGTAACTAACTTTTTTAATTAAAGCGACTAGAAAAAAAACGCGAAGAGCCTCTTGTCTAATATTGGCCTTAGTCTTGGGTGTACTGTTAATTGCATGTCATGTTGGAGATATATAATTTGAAAAATTCCTTTCACAACTAGAATATACATTATTTTTATTTTTATACTCATGAGCTCATTTAATAAGAAAAGTAAAAAAGTAAAGAAGACAAGCGGAGTGGTTCATTTTGACAGCGCTTATAATATTTCTGATAATCTAGCCAGAACAACGTAGTAAACATAGGAAATGTCACACGCGCGTACTTTAAGACGCACGCAACAAACCACTTAATCTTAGACTTTAATTTATGTCACATTGTAGGAAAGCATTAAGCATAATTCAAGATTAAGTTCAGTGAGTTTATTTGGGAGGTAATACGCTTTATAATTACAAAAATGGAACGGCGAAGTCGGTCTGCCTTAAAATATATTTAATGAGGAGAGCACTGATTATACAACCACTTAATTAACGCTGGAACGTCAAATCTATTATCGTTTTTTACAGGGCGGTCTAAGAGGCGTCGTGTGGACAGATTGCATGCAAGCCTTACTGCTTGTGATAACACCTGCCACTGTTATTATCAAAGTGGGTTACGACATCATACATCAAGGTCTTGTTCTTCGACCATTTTCAGCTACCGACTTCAGGAACTACATGCTAAAGTATGTTTCTAACAATATTTTTTTTTTAATTGCTTCACATAATGTATGATTCTATCTGAAGATATTTATAAACAAAAACTAATAAAAGGTGCACTAATGCGGGGTACATGCCGGCATGTTAATATACGGTCAAGGGGTCGTAAGATAAGGGCAAGTCGAAAAATTAACCAACATTTGGTAATAACCTTCTAGTTATAATAATAAACATTTAGTTCTAATTAAAAACTAGGTGAGTGTTATAAAACACCAAATCAGTTAACTTTGAGAACTCATTGAAGCAAGTATGAAGCCCGGTGGTGCGGAGAAGTTACCTCTCGTGCAAAAGGCGCAAGGCTGGAGGGACGAAAGCGCGCACGTCAATCTTATCAATCGCGTTTTTGGACCGCTTGTTGGTGGGTGGAAGGGGAAGAACTGCGGACATCGTTTCTTGCTGTGTGGCACAGTCAGGCTTGGCGAAAGACGATAAGAGACGGGTCCACTTTCTTGCTTTTTGACTTTAAAAACGCAGATTCTGAAAACGCTGCATAAGTTATGAACTTTTAATTATTTGTACAGGCTTGCAGAGCGATATCTAAGACAATCTCGCCGAAAATTGCTGTACGTTCGGAATATGAACGAGTTTTAACTGAGGCTTGCAGACCCAAGAAAGTGCTCTACGTATGAGATTTTTATTAGGTATAACCAACTTCCCTTCGAAATATTTTTTTTAAAAATTTTACAAATAAAAAAAAAACGCTTACCTTTAATTTGGGCCATATGAAAATATGTTTTAACTATAACTTTGAACTGAGGCAGGATTGTTATCTGATACTTTAGGAAACTATAGGCAACACTTAGCCACACTTATGTGCTAAATTACAACGTCGAGTGACATGAAACAAATTTTGCTATTTGTATCAATTGGATCAATACTTTCATTCGCATGGTTGCGCGGAATATTGTAAGCAATATCCTGGGTATTATATGACTAAATGGAACAGCGCGGAACGTAGGACAGAAAGAACAGGACAACACGAGCGCTGATATTATATGAATTGTAAGCATTTAACTTTCGGCATTGAAACGTTCCAGTTTAACTCCATTGCATTTCGTAATTTTATAACCGGTTGTCGATAATAAAAAAAGAGAAAGGGTGAAGCAAGGTAATATTCTTTCGCCTTTAACCCTGGTCTGTGGGTTGTATACAAGCAATCTTTATACTCCGCACAGTACAAGTTTTGATGCCGCCCAAGACGAAAACTTGTGGTCTTGTCTGATTGGGCTGCTCGCCATGAATACGTACCGCACCCTCCTTGATCAAACGGTGGCACAGCGGTACTTGGCTGCAAGGACTCTTTCCGACGCTAAGAGGTACGTTTACCAGCAAGCAGGTAGCCAGGGGGGGGGGGGGGGGGGGTCACATGGGGCCCGGCTTGCGCTTCCTTCCCCAAATCTTCCATCTTGCTGGGGCCTCCTCTCCCCCTCCCTCTCATACAGCATTTTGTCTTGGGCGGGCCCGTCCCGAAACAAAATCCTGGCTACGTGCCTTGTTACCAGTATCAACTGTAGAGGAAATTTGAAGTTTAAACGGAGGGTTCATCATTATGATTATTGGGTCTCACTGTCCTGCTTTAAAAATGGTCAAATTATTTCTAGCTTTGTAATTCTCGAAAATACCACTGCTTTCTCATACGGAACCCCAAGTGCCGTGATATATTTGTAATAACTCGTTCAAATATTTGCTTTTAAAATTGTTTTATTATAAGCTAGAAATTGTATCAAACACCCGTTTACAAAATTGTGTTGACGGTTAAACATATACAAAAAAAATCCAAGTTGCAGATGTTTTTTTCTTAGTGTGATTAAATAAAGTCTTCAAATAACAATTTAAGGTAGCGTAACACAGTTTCCTTGGGTACTTCATATTCTTCAAATATGCATATTACCCGCCCGTTAGCCACGTGGAATTCTTAGTCTTGAAAATAGAAGATATAACGTATACCTTTGCTGCTGACATAATTAAGAATGATGAAACGTTGCATTATTCTCACGTTCAGATTTAGAAATGATTGCATTGAGATGACTTGGTCCCCGTGTCTGACGCCAATACAAAAAGCCTTCTCGCTTATAGAGGCTTGGTGTGACTTTCTGATTTTTGCTTGGTGAACAGTTTACAATTATGTTCGTAAGTAAAATTTATAGATCCTGGGTGCACTGGTTCAGCAAAATTTTAATACAGGTAATATTTGTCTAAAGCGAATCAATGCCGGATATTTAACGATTTTTCTGAGGTAATTACATTCCTCGCGAAATAAAATATTAGTTAGTTGTTAGTTTACTTTGGTTATAATTTATGCATGAAAATGCTATGAAATTGCTTGATTCTTTAGATGTATTTATTAAATACGAGAATGCATTGAGAACAGCGTCTTGGAAAAAGATTTGTTACATGAGCGAATTTAGTTACCACACTCTCGTCACAGATAACTAAATATACCCAGTTTTAGTTCCTTTAACAGCTTCAGAAGAAAGCGTTTAAATTGTATTCCAGAAACATAAAAAAACAATTAAAAATACGACCGTTTGACGCGGAGTTAATTGAAGCGTACACAGACATCGTTATATTTTCATCTCTATCATCAGATTTGCAATAGCTGATCTGGACAGTTTGAGTTGTAAGAAGGGTCACATTGTTCAGCGGGTTAGCCACGTAATGGCCAGCAATACCGTCAATTAATATTACTGGATATGTTCCCTAACTTAATATCACGTTTTCTTTATAGTTCGGCTTATGTGTGTTTTTCTAATATATTAATATAACGTTACAGATAATATAATATTCATAATATTATGTATATTATTTGCGACCCGCCCCGTAGCAGAAAATCAGCCAACAACTCAAAGAAGAGAGATATTACCGGTTTAATAAGTGCAGCTGCATCAGCCAGAGTATCCGCCTGCAGAAAGGTGCACATATTCCTAGTCTAGTTTGAGGGAATACCGGTGGGTGTTAAGAATCATATCGGCTCGCTTGTTACACCCTTATAGAACTTCGGGGTGTGCTCAATGGGAGCTGGATTGAAGCAAGTAAATAATTTTAACACATCTATTTTATCAGTCGAATTATACAAGGATACCTTCAGCACGAACCGTCACGAAAAATCGCCACGTCGATTTCCCCGCTAAATTTGGCAAAGGATTTACTGTCACGTTAAGTCATCTGGCCTCAGGTCACGTGAGGTCAGCTTTAGTGGCTAGATTGACATCACGTGACCATATTACGTTACCTCCTGTTACGTCACGTCACTTTCTTCTATGTCATCCGGCGAGGTGGTGGCTATTGGGCTCAACACATTTTTGCTCTACGGTTTTCTCAGCGTGATGAAGCTTCCGTTTTTTCTTTTTTGTCCTGCTTATTTCTACTATGGTCCTTGATGTCCCTGGCAGCGCTGCCCACAAAACAGTTTACAAGTGTAGTGACTGACACATTAGACGGGATCGGGTCAAATCCCGAGCATTTAATTATCGCTTAACGGCAAATCATATCGCGGCATTAGCTCATAAGAGCGCTGAAGAACCAATTACAAATCGAGGGGCATGAACATAAGACGCCCTGCGCTGAGTTTCTTAGACTGTAAATCAGTATTTAAAAACAACAAAAAAATCGCGATGCAGTGAAATAATTTATGACGGGCTAAGCCCATAACAATGAACATAATGACAAACACTCTAAAAAAAGCCCGTGCGTCTGCTTTCCCGCACAGCACTCGGAGAGCCAATCACCGCTACTTATGGAGGCAGCTCAGCGAATGGCGATGCCGAAATATATCGTTAGACCAAAAAAACGCAGTCTGAGTTGGGACATTAAGCAATGCAAGCGTGACGTCCCGCATTGCTTGATGTCAAAACTCAGACTGCGTTTTTGGTCTAAACATCTGTTTGGGCATCGTCATTCGCTAAGCTGCCTTCGTAAGTTGCGGTGATTGGCTCTCCAAGTGTTGTGCGGTAAAGTAGACGCAAGGGATTTTTTTAGAGAGAATGATCTTTGTCCCGACAGTCGTTTGCGGATATGGTGATCACAAACACAATCAAGAGGGAAAGCAAAAGTTTCAGCGTTCGTATACCTTTTGCAGACTCGGGATAGGAGTCAGAAGCCTCATTTACATTAAAAAGGGAAGTTTATGCGACTGTTTCCTCAAAAACGTATCAGATAGGTTTATCTGTGATTTTTAATGGCTAGTAGGCATTCTTTTTGCTCTTTTTTTACCGTTTCAGGACTGTTTACACTGGAACAATATTGACCCGTCTAATGTTCGTCACAAACAGTTTGCTTGCCTTAACCCTTCGGTATTGGTACCGTGACTGTGATCCCGAGCTTACGGGCGAAATCTCCAAGCCCGATCAGGTAAGATATACCAGTTGATTTTTATTTGCATTGAAGAAGCAGCGGCATTTATTTAGGAAGAACGTTTGGTGCATCTGCTTGGCACCCGAAGATGGCGACCTTACTGCGATACAACCACAAAAATAACTCCCACAAAAAGCAAAAGCAAAAAAAAAAAAAACGAAAAACAAAACAAGGTAGGTTACTAGCTTTTTTTCATCTTCCTTCTTGAATGCGTAGCGCTGAACAACGGACTTCACCACAGCAGCTCGATTGAAATCCACAATTTGCTAGACAAACGGCTGCGCACTATTTGTTTCTCATTAGAAAGTTACCAAAGGCATTGATCAATTTATCTTCACGTGAGGCATGTGTCTATAAAATTTAGCAATATTAATGGAAATATATAATACAAGTGTCGTTCAAGGTTAGCCGGTATTATTGCGCATACAAGATCGCTTAACAAGTGTAGCGTAATGAAACTCGCGTAGGACGTTATTGAAATGTTTTTTTGGATATCCCACGACTGAAATGGCAGTATTTTCTGCCATGATGGTTGACAGCACTGCGTAGGTAGCTAAAAATTAGCATTGCATAAAGCAATTTCTAGTAAAGAAGAACGTGAAACAAGCTGAAAGTTTGAGAAGCAAACGATGTCACGGACGAGACCGTTCTAATAGTGTAAAAAATTGGCGATGGGCAAAAGCCGATGAAGCGTTTACCCCAGGAATACGTTCTTTAATCTTCAGTCACGCATCCCTGTACTTTTCACGCCAAAGAAAAGGGAGAGCTACCGAAACAATTGCAACAGCGCTTGGACGCGCAGGGAAATATTTTAAAATCTAGGATTTCGTGCTTGATGAATTCTTCATTTTCCTTGAGGGAATAGACGTTCCTGCCAACTTCAAACGATCCTTGCATGTCACATTTCGTTATCAAGAGGTTTAATCTCTTTTCAATGAATACCCTTCATGTCTGAAACAATCTATTTTGAAAGTGGGCTGCGTCGGTCGTCAGATGAACCTTCGCTTCGAAATTGACCTGGTGAACTTGTATTTATAAATTCACTAATTACAAGACACACAAAAACAGAAAAGATGCATTCGTAAAACGGTGTGTGATAGGCGTGTTTGGAGGCCGTGTTGTCCTCAGTTGAAGTGCAACAAAACGTAGGCGCGAGCGCCATGCAGCGTGCACACAAGCAAAACACCCAGATTGCATATATGTTACAGGCTCTCTTTAGTATACTCATGCTACATGGAATCACTCAAATTAACATAAGTGCGATAGAACTATGATTTAGCACAATGCTTTCACACGAGTTTATAAAGATAGGTAAGATACAACAATCTCGACTCCCAGGAAAAGTACACATTATCGGTTCTCTGCCACATGGAATCACTAGAATTGGCATAATAAGTGGGCTAGCCTCATCCCATGGCACGTGTTTTTTTAAGGGTTTAAAGATATAGGTAAGGTAATTACAAACTGAACTCCCGTTGTCAATGACAAAGCTTGGACCATAATTTGTTAGCCCAGCCGGGCACAACTCTACACCTATGTGAGAGGTTGTAGTATATATCTCTAAATCAGCTGCTTCGAAGTAACAACACTTCAGCCATCTTGTTGCATTAAGTCATTGTTGACAATTACCTAGAGCTTTGTTTAAAATCGCACGGAGCGCTTTTTCGCCCTCTAGAAACGTTAAAACACTCTGCTACAGAGCCAGACATCACGTCTTGAGCTTTCTTATTCCATATTTAATGATGAGAAAGACGGATTTATGACTCGCAACTGTCGCCAATGGAACTTTTTTGGACAACGAGCGCCATCGGGGATATTGTCAGCAAACTTAAAATGAAGGGAGCCCAATAGACCATTTACTAAATTCCCCAAGCGCTCCGTTCGACATTCGAGGAACCGAGGTAACGGTGGGCCTTCAGCTCCCTAGTGATCGGTAATTTCGGCCAATTGAATGGTTACACAGTTTTGAGTGTAATCCGGGGTCGCCTTGAACTAACCTTATGTGGAGTTCAAGAACCTGCTATATCACTTTTAAAATTTCTCGTCAATATCAGTGTTTTTTATATTGTGCACGCAATCCACTGTTCAATCCGGCTGAGCTTCAGGACACTTTTACAATATTATCAATATCGTGATTTTTCTTGAGCAGGAATTGCTTAAAAAACGAAGAATTCGCAACAACCTTAACCAGACTTAACTTGGAGTAAGCGGGACTGTTAATAGCATTTTTAGCGTTTCTAACTTAATATTAGCGTCTTTCAAGTCGTGTGAAAATTATAATATTGTAAGATATTTCTGCAGCTGAGCAAGGTTGAAGGGTAAATCGCATGCACGTTATCAAAAACGCTGACACTGAAGAAAAATTTTAAACGTGGTATGACGAATCTTTGAAGTTTGCAGGACGCTTCCTCAGGGTGACTCCGGACTACGCTGAAAACTGTGTAATCTTCGAATTGGTCGAAATTACCGATCGCTAGGAAATTGAAGGTGCACCGTTCCCATGTTTCCTATTCGTGTCGTATTCGTGTCCTCCGCCCATCGGAACACTCTTTCATTGTGCTGTTAATACCGGTCTTTATTTTTTTTATGCCTTAAACTACCAATGCTAAAAAAAAAAAGGTCAAGACAGACGAAATACGCACAAGATATACGATGATAATGACGGTCGTTCGGGACAGTGCCATCGAAAATCGCGAGAAGCGAGGCCCGAGGGGGGGGGGGGGGGGGGGGGGAGTGTGCATGCGCACAAGCTTACTGGAAAAATACCCATTGTGCCCGCTCCGCAATAGAAAACAACAAAATGGCGGCGCACACAAAACTAGTCGTGGATTGAGAACCGATACTCAATGTGTACTTTATTTTCTCTCGTCCACATTTTTAGCGGGCGGCACCCGCCTGGCTTTCTCTAGAAACACACATTTAAACTAAGGCACGGCGTGAACAGACAGGTGTCCATCACGCGGGATCAGTTATGTCGAAGTGGGATGGTTCGTAGCGTTACGATTACTGTGCCTAGATGATTTTAATTTTTAGGATGGCAGCAGATGAAGCCGAGTAGATCGACGTAGTCGATAGGACATTTTTGTCACACGAAGGTGACAAGAAATTGGTCACCGTACTGAATCTCTGATAGTTTGGGTTCGTTGTTCTTATTGTCTGTCGCTGGGTAACAAATATATACGTTGACTGTAGAAACGACCGCTTACGGAACCAAAATGGGCGATGATGTTTGTGCGTTGTCGACTCGTCGAGAAGTGCAGCTTATAACCATAATGGATTTCAGTTTTGTATTTAGTTGAGCGCGGCTCGGCGGTTCTTGTTTTAACAAGGGTCCTGCTCGGAGGGTAGTACCGGGCGTGAAAGGTGCGTAAGCTCGCGAGTATACTAGCTTCGTTCAATTTACCTGCTCCTCTTGCACCGCTGCAGAAGAGTGTAGGGAGGTGTATTTCCGGTAGTTTCTCAATACGCATACCGAAAGTACACCGCCCTGCACTTTTCTGCACCGTGCAGAAGGTTCAGGTAAATTGAACGGAGGTACTATAGAGAGCCTATTTTACTAACCTAACAACTCAACGCACGGAGTGCATTAGTAATTTAATAATGGACAACTCCGGCGTTAATTGGTTGCTTATGCGCGTGCGTGAGCTGCCGAGTGGCAATGGGGATAACGGGCGGAGAGGCTGTTTCAAGCTTGGAGAAACTTGCAGAAGAGCAACGCTTTGGAATCTCCCTCGCAGCTGGTATCGCGAATGCGACCCATAAGCCGCATCACCCCGATTGAGCAGCTGGGAACACTGTAATATGTATGCACGCTACAGCATGTAAACGAACGAACGCCTGTAAGGCACTTTCGACGGTCCGCAAAGATCGGTTTCTCGACGTATTATGCTGCAATTTACTACAGAGGTGCAAACAGGTAGTGGATGTTTACAGAGACAAAATCAAGAAATAAACTTAGCTCATACAAAAGGACAACAACAAAAAACAGAAACTTGTTTTGAGCAATCAACGCCGCCACTTCGAAGACAATGTGGGCGCAGTGAGGGGGAGTGCAACCGACAGGATGGCGTACGCCACGTAGAGGGATTGCAGGCTGATTCGGGTTCTTTTGTGGGATCGCTTGTTATCAACTCCGATTGGCCGGCGCACACCTCGGTACGGCGTGTATGCCATTGGTCGGTAGCATTTCTGCTCGTGCATCGTCTGCGAATAGACCGACCTCACCAAGCGTTCAGCGTATGCGTGACACCGCCATACCCGGGGCTAGGAAGAACGAGACACGACACGACAAACAAGTGTCAAACAGAGTGCTGTAATTGTAACTTCTGTGCTGTGTCGCCCCTCGTTCTCCCTAGTATCGACGTTTTAGTATGTTCAAACATCACCAGCTCACTGCCGCCCTAACTTTCTGTTCACTAGTATACTTATTCGCCGGTTTGAATACTTGCCGGAGTGATCAAGACGTATCATAACTATTACTTCGTTGTTTTGTTGTCAGTTTGCCTCCTCGTTTATGTCCGTGTTTTCAATTTTGAACCATAAATTACCAACTAGTCCAAACCTCAAGCGTTAGTCAACTTGTTCTTGGCGGAAATTTGGCGGCAACCAAACCCCCTGTGGTTCAGTAGATGACCCTTTGGAGTGCGCAATTGGGATGGTATACTTTTGTGTGAAAGCGTCGTTTTTCTGAGACATACTTTTTTTTTTCACGCCAGTCTTATCAAGCGAGAAATCAACGCTAAAATTTTTCAACAATAATTTGGCTGTTTCGATCCTTAAAATCACAATTTCTCTATTATTTTGAAGTATAAACCACGTTAATTAATAAGCATACTTCGTCAGTGACGTATAGATGTAATTTAATACATATTATATATATTTGAAAGGGGAAAAGAAGAGAAGGCACTATGATTATACCTAAATGTTTAATGAAATTACCCTTTTAATATGGTCACTGCGCTAGTAGAACCAGCTAACATAACGGCAACTGCGATGTTTGACATTTAGCGAATATTCTTTTGGAAGATATGACATAACACGTTTATTAAATAAGCGTGATAATTTGTTTCGTTGCCTCTTAGATACTTCCCCTCTACGTCATTCAGAACCTGAGTACCTTTCCGGGGTTCTGCGGCATATTTCTTGCTGGTGTTGTTGGAGCGACTACAAGGTAACTATCGCGGAGCATTTGAAATAAAAATATATCAACGCGAATTTTGGTTCCTTTTCATATTTACTTTGGAAATTTATTTACAACTTTTAAATTTACGAATTCTATAGTGAGAGGAAATGGCTGTCACCACTAAAAAAATGTAATTGTTCTAATAACGCAAGTTTCTAATTATCTCTGTCAAACTTGAGCGATATGAAAACTAAACTTTTATTAAGACTCTTCGATTTTCCCATGAACATGATAACCCACGACGGTGAGTCTTAAGCTCTCCACGATTAGTATAGGAACCGTATTTAATGCATCGAATGGAGAGAGTTACAAGCGTAGAACAAAGAGGTCATTAGCAACTTCATAATTTCCTTACCGAGAGTCAGTTGAAACGCCCAGAATTGTATCAAAAGTTCTTAGCTTATATAATTAGAAAAAAGAAAGCGTGGAAAGAGTGGAGTCTATACGTAAGGGTGGGGCACATGCTCGTGAGTAACAACTACGGGAGTTACAATCCGTCGTCAATATGACCCATTCCGGCGGGTTTGGTTTCGGCTTATTACTCGCTACCGATCGTCGGGATTACGTGTTCGTGTAAAGGCCCGTCCACGCACTTTGGACTTCTTAGCTTCGTGCGCTTTGACACCTCTTAAAATCTTTTGCGACAAGATAACACATTGATGCCACCTATCGGGTAGCCGTGGAATTTTTGGCGGTCGTCTATATTGCTTATCTTTCGCGCATCGTTCTTCCTTTCTTGGCTTGAAAAACTTTTTGTCAATGTTATAACGACCATTTCCCATAGGTAGCACTCATATTTGACCTCCCCAATTTTGCAAGACCTTCGCTTTTAGGGAAATGCAGTTCAAGTTTAGCCACATAGATGGCGCCTCGTCGTAAGAGATTTTAAGAGATTTTATGGGACACAGTCCTGAGAAGTCCCAAGTTTGTTAATGGGCCTTAAGAATGTGTAACTGTACAAAGTTCAATCTGTAGCAATCTTGTGTCCCACCAGGCGCCATTTGTATCGTCTCAATAGTATTGATATACGAAGGCGTAAGGTCGTCACGGCGCGACTCACTTGACGAGGCATGGGCCTTCAAGTGCAGCATGCGACCAGTCGAATGAGTCTCTGAAGGGTTGTCCAAATAGAACACAACAAATGTTCTACAAAGCAAAAAAAAAAAAAAAGCAAAACAAAAACGGAACGCGAAGTTGCCACGCGCTTGTAGGTCTCCTTTGAGTACATCAGCCACGCAAATAGCACGTCTTTCCTCCTTGTCTCCCGGTCTTGTCTCCTCAACTTGTTTTCGGGACGTTTGGAACTGACGATAGCAGGAGTGTTCTGACGGCAGAGAACAGAGCGTGTGAGCGGCTATCTGAACTCACGTGATGATCAAGCTCCATGCCTATGTCCAGGGACGGAAAAGATAAATAGCGCCCCCCCCCCCCCCCCCCCCCCCGAAAAAAAAGGGAATGGTCGTCCCAAAAGGACTGGAACCGGAGGAAAACCTATAGTTCTGGCAGAGCAAATATTGTGAACCGTTGAAAACGGGTCCTGTTTGAAGATCCCCTACGATGCGTCGGGAGCTTTTGGGTGGCGCACACGTGTCCAGTGTTTTGATTGCCCATCTAATACCACGGTGAATTTCGCGTTCTATTCTTGCAATCGCTCTTAGAGATGTAAGAGCTTTAACGCGATTTGGGTAGTCCAGGCATCAAAGGTTCAACTCGTTAAGAATATGATTGGCGCTTGCTGAAGGAAAAAGCAACTTCACATTCTTCTGAGCATTATGTTTCCGTCGCTTTAGTAACGGGCCGAGTCCTTTTAATGGCCCAAGGTCGGTAACGACTCATAGAATAAGCACGCGAATACATTGTGAACGCAAAAAAAAAAAAAGAAACAACGTCGTCGCGCCGCATTAGTTCAAAACGCTATTTGAACTCGGCGCACGCGCAGTGATGATGCCGCTGGTTTTACGCGTGCGCAAGGGTACGGCGTAACGCTATTCTAAAACTCGCTATTAACGTTGGTTGTGCAACGCAAGTCGAACATGGGGATCTGAAGTTTCTCTTTGCTTCAGCATGAACTGTGGTAAATGACACCTTCAAAAATGCAGGATGTGCCTCATTATGCTCACGCTTGGTGATTGGTTCTTCAGCGGCCTCGTCGGCTAATGCCCCAGTCTGTTTGGTTCAGGAACGATAATGTGCTGCCCAGGACTTAACACAGATTGTTTTTCTGAAGCCGTCAATGTCTGTCTACACGGTTGGAAACCGAAGGAGATGAGGAAATGAGAGCGCGCGGGGATTTAGGAACACTGACCTCTGCTTGAAATAAAAAGTTGGCAGACGTAAAGTCAGCTGCTTTTTTCTCTAGCTACTCGCTCGTTGAATGCGCTCAAAGATTTAATAGAGACAAAACAAAAATGAAAGACGTTTACGAATTTCTGTAATGCAAAATTGAAGCACATCTTGAGGATTTTGCGATCTACCGTGCTAAACAATTTGAGAAAGAAATATAGATCACTCTCGTCACATACTGGCTCTGCATTCTCCTTCTCTTCCGTGTACTTTTTCTCCTTTGTAATCTCTCCTCCTCCTTCTCTATACCTCCCCTCCTCCTCTGTACCCTCTCCTCCTCCTCCGCTGTACCCTCACCTGCTCCCCCTCCATGCACTCCACTGCTTCTCCCCTGCACCTCCCCTCCTCCTTATAGGTACCCTCCTTTCCTCCTCCGCTATACCCTCCCCTTTTCCTTTATACCATCCCCTCGTCCCACAGCTTTCCCGCTAAATTTAGCGAGAAAAAAGACGCCACGTGACCTCAACACCAATCCGATTTCCCGCTGAATTTAGCGTGGAAACTGAATTGACGTGGAGGTCTGTGACCATAATGCAACGCTGCGCATTCAGTTTCCCCGCTAAATTCAGCGGTTAAACTGCCGTCACATGACCTCAACACCAATTAGGCTTCCCCGCTAAATTTAGCGGGGAAACTGCGACACCCCGTAATGCAACGCGCCCGGTTACGCCGATGGCGACGCCGACGCAGCTCAACGCGGAAACGGGCGCCTAAAAGCTGCGCACTCAAGAAGTTGCTTTGCCTCTATACTCCGTTTGACTTTAGAAGTCCAGACGCGGCCGACGCTGCCAGCTAACGGAACCAATGAAGCGACGTCAGAAGCGGAAGTCACTGCACCTTCTTTGTTTATGATTGGTTCAGCAATGATGAGGCACGTATACAGAAACATGACGAAAACGACGATAGTGAGCTTTTGACGGTGTCTGATCGGTCCCACCGGCTCGTAGGGTCGGCCAAGCCTGTACGTACGTAAGGTGAAACGAAGTATACCGGCTAGTCATTTCAACCAGAACTCGATGTTTTGAGGACCCCTTGGTTTCTCGTCTCGTTTTCTACCATAGATTTAACCCGCATAGCAGCTTCACCGGTATTCATCGGTACGGTTTATTCACCTGCATATCTTGGTTAAAGCCACCAGAGCTTAAGAAACCGTGTTGTGTCCCGAGCAAGCAATTTTCACACCGCTGCCATTAAGATAGCGGAATTACCTGATAAGAACGCCGAGGAACGAATCACTAAAAACCTTCGAACATAATAAGCCCCCATATGCTCGTCTTACGTCGTGAGCAATTATAGTGACAGATAGGATGAGATACATGGTTCCGTTACTATGAACACGTCATTAATCAGATTTCTAAAAAGGTGAACCTTTACATTAATTCATATTTGACCCTAAAGCTTAGTGTGAAGCTCCGCTAAGAATAAAAAATATGTAGGCATTGTAAATAGTATCTACTGGATTGTTCGGTTATAAAAAATACAAACTAAAGATTATTGGAAATATAAAACGAATTTCATCGGGCCTATCTCCAGCGCGTGCTTAATCAACTTCAAATTAACAATCGTTCCTACATTTTCTTTAGCACAATATCCTCCTTGATTAACTCCCAAGCGACCGTGTGCTACGTCGACATTGTATCGGAGTTTCGTAAGTTTGAAGGACGTCGGGCTGCCACTGTTACAAAGGCACTTGGTACGTAGAAACAACTCGGTCGAGCGGATGTGTGAATGCTTTGTTGTGTGGATTCGTAAGATTGCATGTATGCGTGAGAGACAAAACACGCAATCTAGTGAATAGCTGAAAGCGAGTTTCAACCGCATTTTTTATTCGAGTGTATTTTGTATTGAAACTTGAATTTCGCATTTATCTGTCCTCGCTTAAAGCGTGAATTGCTTCAAAACAATTTGTGCGTTTTGAAATTAGTGGGGCCGGAAGTTTGTTTTGGCGATAGAAATGCCGTCCAGGGGGAGCTTGGATGGTCGAGTTTCGATGCTCGAGAGGCTTCCGGTAGACATGGATACGACAGGTAAATGCGGCCAATCAATCGGTGGCCGTGGGCTTGAAGGTTATTCAAGTACATTCACATGACTGGCATACAGACACGGAGTCAGAGAAGTCTCTACTATCTTGAAAGAAAAATGACGTGTCGCTGACAATTTTGTATTAGGCAACTTTAGCTTTTAATATTTTTTGACAAAAATTTCACCAGCTAGCCCCACTTCTGTATTAATTTGGAGAATGTCGTGTTGAGATACTTATTTTTACTCTCTATTTAAAATGGGTTCCACTCAAAGGACCATTACTATAGTATGAATAAAAATATGCAACCTGGAGTCGCAAATCAGATTTAAAGGACAGAAGAATAGTGAGCGCTATAGACTTATACATTCATTGTCGCCTAAATGGATTTAAAGCAGTTGCAGCGGCAATCATTCCCCAAGCGTAGTTAATCTTCCCTGTGAGAGGCAGCTTTTTACCAGTAAACATACTCAAAGTTTAGTAACAGACAACTACAGAGTTCGTACAGAACACCTGGATCATATGTTTGCTCTGAGTCAACATTCAACTACGAACTTTTGGACAGAAGGTGAGGTCTATGTGAAGGAAAAATTTAATTTGTTGCGCTTGTCATAAAAATGTGACTTCCTGAACACGAACTTGTCAAAAAGATAAAGCGAATGCAATCCTGCACAAAAATAACGCGAATCCAAAAAGATAAAGCGAATGCACAGCTTCGTGGCAATGGTTTTGCCGCGAATGCCCTTTCCTGATTCTTTCTCCCCCTGTAAAAAAGTCACAGCTGGAATGTGTTTCGATCTAACATTTACTGTGCTTTCATAATGTGTGATCCGATGTTATCTTTAAAACTTCAGCGTCTTTCAAATAACAGATTGTGGAGAATAATATTTTGTAAATTTTACAGGGTTCCTGAACGGAACTGTTATGACAGTATACGCCATCACGGTGACGTACATGGGTTCCGTTGGAAGAGTAAGTGTTCAAGCTTAGGCATAACTGAATATGGCCGAATATTGGGGCTTTTGTATATTGATAATCGAAAAAAAACATCAATGCTGAGAACAAAATAAAGATACTGAAATCGCTTCACACTAATAGCTAAGAGCGAGCTTTGGAGCGCGTTATGTAGTTGTCTTTTAGAAACAGACAAATCACATCATCAATCACACATCATCATCATCAATCACTCATCATCATCATCATTACATCATCAATCACACATCAAAAAAAATATGAGTTTTACGCATTATTAGGAAGTTTTAGTGAATTTTTTTGAGGCGAACGGTTTGACCCCGAACGATTCGCCGACGCCACAGCCCACGCGCGGACATTGCGCGGGAACTCGGGAACGGTTGAAACTAATCGTTACAATTTGCGGCGCGTTAACTAGTGTGAAGGAAGAATACTCAAAACATTTTAACATGCTGGATGATGCAGGAGATTCGCAAGGCAGTTCAAAAAAGCAGTTGCGGTTTCGTTTCGAAGCAAAACATTAATCTATGAATGACTCGCCGACGCCATTGGGTATGCCTATAGTCCACACAAAGGAAAAGAAAGTTCTCCATCTTGCCGTGCATTTGGCCGCATCGGAGCCCGCCATCGGAGTGCTGAGATTTCAGGCGGTGTACTTGAATAAACTAAAAAAAAAAACTGGTAAATATATTTTTGAAGTTCATTCACAAAGTTGTCTTTTTACTTTAGTTATACAAGAAAAACAATAGCGACAGGTGTCGTACATACTCGTACTAAAATAAGGTGCTTCTCTTTAAAAGCTCTGAAAACAAACATTTAACACAGTCAAACGTGCATTTCAAGAGCCACAAGCCAATGCTTGGAAGTGAGTAGGATAACAAACGAACTTGCAAGTTCGATGGAGCTTTTTCCCTACGCCGAAGTTGTATTTTAAAGAGAAAGGGGGAAGGGTAGTTTTGAAATAAATAATTTTAGCGGAACGCGTGGTGACTGAACGGCTGCCATGTCATCAACAACATCCAGACTCAAATCTTTTGAAGTATGTATACTGGCGGAGACGTTGCCGAGTCGACTGTAGACGAAATTCAGAGCTGCCTTTTTGAACCGTCTTGAGATGTGTCTCGCCTCGGCCAAACTCGTCCTGCTCCAAGGGTGTGTTGAAAGGCTTTGAGCCTTCCTCATTCACGCTGGTGAGGTACCGCACATGTGAGGAAATTCGGCTGAACCCTTTCCAAGCCCCTTCGAAGACAAATCGGTTGCCTCGAAACGACTCGCTAACCTTAATTTTCTCGAAGTCCCGAATGATACGCGAGGGCGTGCGCTGTGGCGTCGGCGAATGGTTCAGCGACGAACCGTTCGCGTCTAAACGACTGACTAAACATTTTATTCATGCACTACAGGAAGTAGTTCTAGCAAGATTTAGTTGTCCAAGGAAGAAACAAAGTTTTTGGCGTTTGAAATATGTACGTCTTGATAAAAAAACGTAAAGCTAATCTAAGATGCCACCAGGGAGTTTTTATCGAAATTCAGGCATGATTTTAGAGTCGGTTTTTAATTTTGACAAAAGATATATGTTTTTGGGAGCATTCTTGAATGAAAAACAGCGGAAATGGCAGCTTGGCGGAGTTTTGTTTGTTTCCGAGTTGTTACCATTAAAGCGGCCGAGGCGAAAACTGACGTTTCTACCACCTGTCTGAAATCGCATGATTGACCGCTTGCTGTTTTCTCTTTTTTTTTTAATAAAGCATTTAGGTCTCTTCTCAAAATAGCTTTAACTATGGTAAAGGAATTGCATTTTCTTTTCTGGAATTTTCGATTAATCATACAAAATAAAAAAGTCGAACTGCGTTTCATTGTGAATTTTCCGGCCATGTATGGAAAGTTCTTGCGTGTGACCTACTTACAATAAATTAATGACTTTGACATCCGCAGAAAACTCGAACTTAGTTCTTTTCAATTAATACAATTTTAAAAATATGTCCAACAGATTGAATTAACAAATGTTTAGAATATATAGCATATTCAAAACCGATTCTCTCAAAAACCCAATTTTTGTATTTGTTTTAGTTTTTATTAGTGACAAAGTATAAGAAGTGTTTATTAGAAAATATATATATAATATATATGGTATTTTGTTTATATGATCGCAAATAAAGCTAAAATTATGTCAGCGTTGCTAAACGGCGGGTGTTGTTGCGAAGTGAAATAATCTTTACTCCACATTACACCCAATTCTGCTTATTTTTTAAGCTTACATGTTAAATAAAGCATAATATTAGGTAATTAACTATGCCACGCCACAGTGTTGGCCGCAATATGTGAGGAGCTTTCATCGTACTTCGTTTTATCGAACGACGTTTCATCGAAGCCGTTTCATAGCATACCTTTTTATCAAGCGCCGTTCATCGAACGCCGCTCCATCAAATGTTTTTTTTTAAAGTAAAATAGCTTACACAAGTTCGACTAGGGAAGAATGAACTCGCCGTAACGATTTTCATATTCTCATTGTTGTGAAGTATTATGTTTTTATGGTTTCTAGTTCGCCACTTTTTTTAGGTTTTGGAGCGTTTATTTTTTTTAGTGATTCGGTCTGTGCAAAGATGACTATATGTTCTCGGGTTTCTAGGCTGATAAATGTTTAAGTGAAGATTACAAAGCTAACAGGGTTCGCGTGCATACTCTGCGCTTGGTTGGTTTGTTCGGTGATAGTACGCGCACAGAAAGATGACCCATGGCATGACGTTGCGCTTATTGCGCTCGTTGGTGACCTCGAAATGTCATACTTCGCCTTGAAGACAGAAACTATATGTGTAGAACCACTTTCGGTCGGAAGTTATGCTCAGTCGTTTAGCAGTTTGGTGCTTTTGTTAAATAGTTTGTTTTTGCAAAATGGCATATCATTCAAGATATGATAGACGCGGGTCCGTTTCCCTCCGCCGGTTTCTCTCTGCCGCTTACCTCCACCGACATACTGGGGAAAATTGGTCTTTGTCCATCAGCAACAACTAAACGGGTTCAATACACTCAGTTTGTCGTTCTAGAAAGTTAATTTTATTGGCCACTTAATGTGCACTATAAACAACTGGGGGATCCTGCAGGCTCAGGGTATGCGAATATTATCCTTTCACGGTTGGCAAAATATGCCCTATATCAGATGAACACCATTAGTACTCCGCAATGGAGATTTGGGAGACAGCACGAGGAAAGCCCACGCTCTGTTTTGGGCGCTACACTTATGTTGTTGATAAGCGAATTGACAGCAGATTCTACTGGAAAAGCGAAGTGTATGGGGAGCGTAGCTCAATTGGAACGACCTTGTTTGAAATAGGCCCCTACCCGTACATTCAAGAGTAAAAAAATAGAGATCTACTCTCTAAAAAAGAAAAAAAAAACTGTCAAAGGAGAGTAAGTACTTACTTTCCTTTAACTCTCTCCTCCTCAAAGTTACTCTTTCGCGACCGCTTCTTTCGTTGATACTCTTCCTTAAAGGGATACTCCGCCGATTTCTTCATGGTCCCCGATTTGCTTGAAATTTTGCTAAACTCGCCAAACAACATCGCCAAAATAGTATCCCAAATATTAGGTCAAAATATTTTTTTTCACGAAGTTATTGAATTTACAATTTTTGTCGTCACCGTGTTTTTCAAACTGAAAGTGCCTACTGGCAACAATGAAAAAGTGACGTCAGTGGAAGTGCAGGGGTTCACTCTTTGGACTGTACAATTTGTTCCCAAGTGATTCGAAGCAGTTTCATGGTGTCAAATGAATTCTTTGGAAGCTCGCTCCAGTCTCCGCGCTCCAGCACGGAACAAATGATTGGCATGCTCTATTTTTTAGACTGCTCGCCCGACTGGCAGGCTTACCTTCCACTGACGTCACGGCACTGAAAAGGGCGGGTATATTTGAATGTTGGTTTTCGCATCATTTTCATTTGGCGATTTCGCAACAACTATTATGAATTTCACGATACTAAATAGCATACCAGAATGGGTAAAGGCCGGGGAGTCAGAAAATATAGTTAGTTGAGGTAGCTCAAAAATCGCCGGAGTACCCCTTTAACCCTCACTCGAACTCGAGAGTAACTGTAGCGAGAGTTATTTTCTTCTCGCGATATTACGGGCTGTCGATAGATAGCGCAGCCATGGGTTCGGCGCATGTTCGACGCTCTTCGGAGCAGATTTTAGTTTTTCTTTTTTCCGGGAAGGTCTTTTTTTTTTCCTACCCGCTTCCTTTTTTTGTTGGGGGGAAGATGGGCAAGGATGTTTTAATAAGCGAGTTGGTACAGCCTACCTTTATTTTGTCAACGCCCAATTCAAATGCTTTTCTGCAAAGTAAGAAAAAAGAAAAAGGTGCAGAACGTACAGGTGGTGTTTTGCTGCTCTTTTGTGCATGTGCGTCGCCAGCGGTATGAGCTCATAGGAACGGCCAAATGGGGCCGCCGATGTCCGCGTCTATGCCTCGCCCTTCCGTCGCGGCCAAACGCTTGGGACTTTTCGCTCTAGATTATTATGTTGACTCTATGATCTTGACAGAAAAACTTCGTGCCCTAACTACGGGTTTATGGACTGCACTTCGTTTACATGTGAAGAACCTTTTGCGATTGACTAGGACAAAAAGTTATTCTGAAAAGTGGTTATACAAATACGGTTCTATGACTTTACAGCACTACTGCTGTCACAATAAGACGCCGAAGGCCTCCAACGTGGCAGACGACAATGTTGGTTTTGACTTACAGTTTAGCCGGAAGTGACGTCAGCTGCAAAAAACCTATACTTAACAACGCAAAAAAAAAGAAAAAAAAAAAAACCCGAGAACGAAGAAGTAGTGCAAACTCGGAGCGCTACTGGCAACTGAATTTTATTTGGAAAACACGAACATATTTCCACATCAGTGGCGTAGCCAGGGGAGGGGGTCAGTACACCCCCGAAATTTCATGGTTGTCAACTTTACCCCTTTCCCCTTTCGACTTTCACTATATATATATATTTTTTTTTTTTGGT